TAATCTACTCTTGCTAAACACAGTGTGCTTATGTCACATGTGCACCCAGTGATAATTAAGGCCATTCAGAATCGAACGGTCATGGGAAAGCTGTAAATATCAAGGAATTTTACATTTTGTTTTTAAGTCATGAAAATGAATACAAATTAACATTAACAGTTCAAAAGTCTTTGCAAAGATTTTTTTTTTAAAGAAATTTAAATTGATCAAAAAAAGTGATAGATTTATCATGTTACAAAAGATTTCTGTTACTAATAATGTTCTTTTCTATTCATTCAAAAATCCTGAAAAAAATGTATTATGATTTCCACAACAGTGGATTTTTATTTTTTCAGTAAATTTGTCAGTTTTATTAGAATGATTCATTAGCAAATCTATCTGAATGAAAATGAAAAGTCCTTATCTAGTTTTCACAAATGACTGAAAAAGTTGTGGAAAAGTCATGGAACTGAGGTACCAAAAATGATATTTAAATGTTATATGATATTTAAATATTTGATGATACAGAAAAAGCTGTGTGTGCTGTTTTTTTTTGTTTCGGTCAAAATGACTAAAGTCAGGGTTTTTTCATTCATTGTCTGGTGTTGGAAATCTAGAACTCAGATTATGCAGAAAAGTGTATGTTGTCGGGAACATGGCGGAATGCAGGGAGATGTACAGAGTTAGGAAGGCTAGCGTACTTTGTCAATTGTTTTCAATGGGAGCGCCACGTTTTTTAAAATGGCAGAAGCGTGACAAGGCGCTGAGCGTTTATTTCACTTTTATTTCAGCATTTTTTTCCCTCAGCGCTGAGTTAAAGAATGTTCAATTACTGTCAATCAATTACTATAACCAATCACAGTGGTGGGGCTAATACAGAGGGGCGGGACTAATACCACGCTGACCAACCATCACACCCTGCTTTGTACTACGACTGAACAACAATCGAGAAGTTAATGTTGCTTGTCTCCGAGTATTCATGTCTTAACCAGATGAAATTCCCAGACTACCATAATATTGGTATGAAAAATAATGCTTGAAAAAACATTTCATTCACGATACATCTGCCATATCACTTTAGCAGATACACCGTATCACAGTAACCAAAGCATCTTAACTGAAAACGCTGCGCTGCAGAAGGGCTCTCAAGCGCTCACAGCTTGGCGTTTTCAGCTGGCTAAAAACACTGGTGAACACACAACTTAATGGTAAACATTGACTTTCATTCATATAAAATGCATCAGTGACAAGTTCCTATAATACATAACAATAAATGTTATTTAGCAAATGCTCTCAGAGACAAGAAAACCTATTGTGTGCCTGATATAAAAGCTCATACAGGTGCTTGACTTGAAAAACGAAGACCATTGCCTTTGCTATGTTCATTTTTGAGGCTGTTGATTTGCACACGATCTTCACTGTTTGGCATAGTGTTTGATATGAAATGGTTTGATCCCCTCAGAAATGAGAGATGAGGCTCTCAGGGATTGTATCCTTTAAGGGTTGTCCCTAGCAACAAGAAAATACATCATGTGACAGTCATGCTATTTATATTAGAGATATGCATCTCCATAACTGATGCTGATGCGATACACATCTCGATGCATAGCCAACGATACGATACATTAAAGATGCATGTGAAGCAGCTACCGATGCGATACGATTCACCCCTATTAAGATGCAGTGCAATCCGGTTAAATGCTATACGATGCAATGGGGAAAAAAAATGATGCTATGCAATTCAATATGGTACAGATAGTTTGCTTTTATTTTGGTTTATTGTCATTATTTGGTGGAAGATGCAGCTCTACCTCTGCCATGTTAATCTATATTCTGTGTGACTCTCAGGACATGCCTCGGACTCGTAGTGTTGTGATGTGTCATATTCATGTAGCAGCAGGGAGTGGTGAGAGAATGCACTTGAGAAACAGTTTAGAGAAGATAAATCAATCTACATATAAAATATTGGTCACAAATTATTGGTTACTTTGTAAATAATAAAAGTATTGTGCATCTACTAATAATTATATATAAATAAATCATTTTTTACCGATGCATACATGTTAGAAATGATGCATCACGATACAAATGCCAACTTGTATCCAATGCACACTTTTTTAAATCAATGCATCGCACTTTTAACTTTTATGCCGATGCACCGATGCAAATATGTGAATCTTACCATCCCTAATTTATATATTTGTGGATATGTTTTTCTACTTGCAGTAGTGAGTGACATTGGTTCATATTTGTGCATGTTGTGTAAAGTGTGTAAATGAAAGTGCTTTGCTTTCTATGTATTGTTCATAGGAGCAGAACTAGGGTGTTTTATTGCATGATTCATATGGTGAGGTGAAGGTGAAACTGAATCATCTATGATTTTTCTAATGTATCATCTATCATCTGTCATTAATACTTAATCGAGTCATTGCATAAAGGTGATGTGTGATGCTTCTTGGTTGACTTCTTTTAAAATTATATTCACATTTCTGTATTGCTTTCAAAACATTGCTCTTTTCTTTGAGCAGCCCGAGTTGTCAACTTCTGGCTTGGCCAATAGCATGTACAGTAGCAGGATTATCTGTTTGTCAGTGGAAAGAAGGGACTATATTGTAGTATTGTTGTTTCCAAGACTTATAGAACCATTTGACCCAAGTTGAGGGTATGTATCTGGACAAGATTATTTGACATTTTAAGCATTAGACTTGTTAGATTAATGCTAGCATTAACATATACACTATCATTCAAAAGTTTGGGGTCGTTACGATTTTTTAAAATGTTTTTGAAGCCTCTTATACTCACCAAGTCTGCATTTATTTGATCAAAAATACAGTAAAAACAGTAATATTATGAAATGTTGTGAAGCTGTTTTCTTTTTGAATATATTTTAAAATGTAATTATTCCTGTGATTGCAAGGCTTGAATTTTCAGCATCACTACTCCAGCTTTCAGTATCACATGATCCTTCAGAAATCATTCTAATATGCTGATTTGCTGCTGAAGAAACATTTCTTATTATTATCAGTGTTGAAAACAATTGTGCTGCTTAATATTGTTGTGGAAATCATAATACTTTTTTTCAGAATTCTCTGATGAATAGAATGTTTAAAAAATCTTTTGTAAAATTATAAATGTCTTCACTTTCACTTTTGATCAATTATAATGCATCCTTGCTGAATAAAAGTATTTATTTCTTAAAGGGGTCATATGATGCGATTTCAAGTTTTCCTTTCTCTTTGGAGTGGTACAAGCTGATTGTGCATAGATAAGATCCCTGAAGTTGCAAAGACTAAAGTCTCAAAACCAAAGAGATATTCTTTATCAGAGTTAGTTCGGCCTAAAACGGCTCGTTCTAACACGCCCCACATATCTACCTCACTATGTGAAAATATTTGCATAATGTGGCCCAAATGTGCACCAAAGAAGATCTTTAAAAAAGCATCATATGACCCCTTTAAAAAAAAAAAAAAACTTACTGACCCCAGTCACGTTCACAGATGTTTACATCAAAATAAAACCGATAAAAAGACCTGAGTCCTATTAAAAGTGACACACAGGCTTTGCAGGGCATCCATTTTGGGGCTTGTGTTTTACACTATTCGCTACCGAGAGGGCCTGTAAACCAAAGAGAATATTACATTGAGAGGTTGTTGAGAAAACGGAGTTATCATCACATCTTTGATTTATCACCAGTGTCACTAAGATGGCTGGCAAAGAGCATCTCCCATTGCTGGGTGCTATTTATATCAGCTATTCATCAGCTCCATCAAGTGATGTGGAGATACAGCACGCAGGAGGACGAGCGCGTGAGACATGCAGTGACTGCCAGGCCACCTCTTAACCTTCAGCATTGCGAATCGCTGCAGAAGACCCCAGTGTCAAAGTGCAAATAAATACAGTCGTGTTGATAAGACTTGATTTATGACAGCTGGGATATTGATTACAGGTACAACGCAAGGGGCAAATGCACTTCACATCTGTACGAGCGTCGTGTGTGTGGATGATAATATGATCGATGATGGTGTCTAATAAACATGCTCTTGGGTTATCAGAGTACATTTTAATAGAATGTGTGGAGAAAGAAAGGAAAAAAGGAAATACGTGAGGCCTTGTTTACACCTGGTATTAAGGTGAATGACATGATCCTCTTTTTTTGTAATATCTATTAATTTGACCTTATGAAAAGATACAGTAAGTTAGTTGTAAAATGTCTTGTTGCAACTTCCCAAAAACTCAATGATATTAATAAATTAATTCATGATATTCGTAATAAAATATTTCAAATATATATGTTTTTAAGATGTGTACACTCGTGTATTCAAGGGTAAGGAAAATATGTTATTACTTTTTTATTTGCTGATTACACCACGTGATATTTTTAGTCATTAAATTGAAACTTTTTTTGAAAATGGTGCAAGTCATATGCTTTTAAACCATATGAAACCAACATGAATACAAAAACAGTAGCTACATTTTGAAGGTCTTGGCACGTGATTTAAAGTTCCATTTATCATTTAAAGCCCTTGTTTAAGTGCATGGTTGATTGACAGGTCAGTGGCCTGTTTTACTGTTGTCTGGGACGTATTTGAACCCTTTTTACACCTGAATTTAGCACTGACCATTTGTGATTGGATCACCTGAGACTGATTTTAATAGAAGGTCTAAACGGGGTGTATATAAGGGAATGTGATAGAGGAGGCAGAACAGCTGTATGGACTCTTTGATCCCTAAAGCTGCTTTAATCTAACATGTAGTTAGTTGGAGCCACACTTTGCTCTCCTACAACCAATTATCATCAAGGTGTTACAACATCTTCACTTTTAGCTGTGCAAAGCTCTCTCACACTGATTTCACACTCAGCGATTGGCTTCCAGGAGCCTGTAGACTGTAGCATGTGGTTGTTGTTGGCCCTGATGTAGGTGATAATCATAGACATGGTGTATATGTGGTTTTAAGTATAAATTAGCAGTTTCATGTTGTCAGTATCTTATGGGTTCTCTGTCATTTTTTGCTCATCACAGGTACGACCCGCTCCCCTCGTGACAGAGAGGTGCCAGGAGTAGATTATAATTTTTTGTCAGTGGACGAGTTTCTGAAGCTTGAACAGAGTGGGACACTGCTGGAGATTGGATCTTACGAAGGTAAACATTTATATTTTACAATGTTACTTTTTCTTTTCACCGTCATAGTTTAAAAAAGTAAAATGTTATATGTGTGTGTGTGTGTGTGTGTGTGTACACAGTGTTTTGAGTGTTTTTTTCCTCCATGCAGACAAACATCAAACTCTAAAGCTTTTCTCATATAAATACATGCAGTAGTTACTTTTATCCATTGCATAACTTGGGATTTGTCTTTTGTATCATACTAAATGTTATAAAGGTTTAGTTATGATAAACTAAGGCAGTCCTCTTAGATCAATGACAGCTCACAATAGCTGTGGATTATGGGATGGTACGTCTGGTCTATAAGGTGAAAATCTGACCTTTTGTACATATTGTACATACATTTGATTTCATAATTTTTTTGTTTTACATTTGTTTATTCTAAAACTATTTATTTCAAAATAAATTTTTAATCACATATTTTCAGATTATCAGTGTCACAAATTTACTTATTTAATGGGTGACCTAGAAATAGTGGATAACTTTAAAGGGGTCATATGATGCGATTTCAATTTTTCCTTTCTCTCATTTATTTTACATTGTAACATGTTTTTTTAATTCTTTAACTTTCTTAGTATTAATCATTGATCATCTAATAATTGTATGTGTGTGTGTATATATATATGTATATATTTTTTTTTTCGCAATTATTTTCACACAAAAAATCATTAAAAGTATATTTTTATGTGATATTTTCAATGTGGTCTCCGACTTTTGGATCCCACTGTGCTCTATATATGTGTGAATTCTCACCCATTAGAGACGTAACAAATGACACTTTTGTTAATAGTTAAAATCTTTACTTTATTTTTACTCTGTCCTGCTGATGTGTTTTGTCAAAATTAATCTCTTAATTAATATTAAGGTTTATCACTCGGCTTGGCATGGCTGAATTCTAAATGTATTGCTCTCATTTAATGATGTGGAGTACTTTTCTTTCAGACAGACAGCTCTGTTCATTGTGTACTCCCATTACCCTTAAACAATACTGCCTGATTGTCCAGACAACACTGATAATCTCCCTTGCATAAACTTCATGAAGACAAGCAGTCATTTTCATAATAGAGCATTTTCAAAACCCCACATCATCATGTCTTGCATTTCCTTTAAACCTCCTGTTCTGAATGCTGGTAATATCCTCTTGTTGCCTAGGTAACTATTATGGAACACCCAAGCCGCCCAGCCAGCCCCCTAGTGGGAAAGTGATTACTGGCGATGCTCTGCAAGACAGCCTTCCTGGTTCCCAGCAGTCAACCCCACGCCGCACCAAGTCCTACAATGAGATGCAAAATGCTGGAATAGTGCCTACAGAGACTGAGGATGATGATGAGGTTCCTGAAATGAACAGTAGCTTCACAGGTCAGCAGCCAGCCGATTTGTTTGCGTTTCTGTCTGGCACATGGGAGAAGGGATGAGTGATGCCTCTTTGTTGCTTTCCTCTTCCTTCACCATTACGATTCAGGGAGGAAGGGGGAAAGAGCGCCATCTGGCTGTGGTAGAGGGTTTTGTTTGTGTTAGAAAGCACCAAGATGGACTCTTCTCGTCTTTATTTATTGATCCAACAGTTATGCGCTGCCAACTTTTACACTCTGTATCAGAGTATTGAGAGTTTTGCGTTTTGTGGTGTTCTTAGAAGACATCTGTCTATGAAATAGAATGCCACATGATGTAGCTGCTGGTTGATGAGAGGTGTTGACATCTTTGTAATCTAATAAAAAGTGGACAGCACTAATTACAGGTTTCAACAGTTTTGTGATGCGATTTTATTGCTCGAATCACATTCAGAGATGGCAAAAGATCAATGCAAATGTCCACATTGCATTATATTATGAATGCAAATATATTCCGTTGGGTCCTGGACAACAATAAAGCACCGCCTGTTCACCTGTTAATCAACCGTTGTGCTAAAAGAAGGGTTTGAGACTTCACCAAAGACATTTTCCTCATCTGAGTAGGTAGAAGGTGTACACATCTAAAGTTCAGTTAATACAGCTGCTCAACTACAGTAGCATTGAGCATTCTAAATGTCATGTTTGCTGTGCGATTAAAAAGTAGGAGTATATTTGGAAGCAGTGCTTTTGTGCAAACTTGTTTTAAAAATCTTTTTGTGCTTTGTCAACATGAAGTAACACAGTGACAGTGAATTATGTATACACACTATTGTTCAAAATCTTTTTTTTTTTTTTTTTTTTAAGTCTCTTATCTGCACTATATATTTGATCAAAAATACATTAAAATAAGTAATATTGTTAAATATGTTTACAATTAAATAAACTGTTTTTTTTAATTATTATTTTAATATATTTTAAAATGTAATTTATTCCTGTGATGGCAAAACTGAATTATCAGCAACATTACTCCAGTCTTCAGTGTCACGTGATCCTTCAGAAATCATTCTAATATGCTGATTTGATGCTTAAGAAACATTTCTTGTTATTTTTATCAATGTTGAAAACAGTTGTGCTGCTTAATGTTTTATTTTAGAAGTTAACTTGTTTTAGTTTAACTTGTGTATGAATCACCTGAAACGGATGTAAATACCAGTAGTTGCCTGCCCCTGATTCTACAAGCTGGTCTGTGCAAGCATTATGACGTTTTTCCTATCCATACTTCAGACTGTAGTTGCGTATTTTATTCAAGAGTATATTTGGCTATATTATAATATTTTATTTTGCATGTTATGTTCAATATCCAAGTTAATTCTAGAGCCCTTGATTTAAAAAGGCAATAAGCTGTCCTATTCATACAGGTTCACGCCTTTCATTTGGCAGAGTGGTTTGAATTAAAGCAGCTAATTCAGTCAGGCATGCCACGCAATGTAGTTGACAGTCGATTTGTTTAGATTCCTCATCTCTTCAAGAAGGTTAAGTGTTAACTATTTACACTCTTATTGATTTGAGGGGATGTTGGTGATTTCATTTTTTATTTATTTTTTGGTGTGGGTGGGAAAGTGTCAGACAGCCTGGTGTCAGTATGCGTATTTGTGTATAGTAGAGTGTGAATAGTGTTTGATCACTCCAGAGTTTACAGGAAGTGAGAGGGAGGGGGCCTGGTGCCAATCTCCAAACCATTAGCATTAGTAAAAGTACATTGCCATATTCATTTAGGATGCATTTCTCAACCAGAGCCTCATGTTGAACTCAGAGGGTCTGTATTTGTGTACTAATCTTCTGTGTGCATGCAGGAGACTCGAGTGAACCGGACGACCACCCCTCCGTGCAGCCCTTCGCCCGTGACCACGTTCTACCCTACGGGCTCAACAACACCTCAGCGTCAACCACGGAGAGCTCTCAGAATACACACACACACCCCGGCTATCCCACGGAAGAGGACCCTCTGGGGCCTCTGCCCGAAAACTGGGAAATGGCCTACACTGAGAACGGAGAGGTCTACTTTATCGAGTAAGAACTAACTGCTGTTTATATACTTTTATTGGACGGACATTTACAGTGGCCATGAAAAGCTTTTAGATTTGAAAAATACATGAATGTCTGCATAAATAATGCAAAAACTCAAACCAAGTAGTGGTTTTATTTTTATATTTCATGCTTAAGACATATAGTTATATTGACATAATAAAAAAAACATGTGAAGTCAGTTTAAAAATAAATAAGAAAAAAGTTTCAATTAAAAATGTATTTAAACTAATTCAAATTATTGCTAAATTAAAGTAATTGCAAATATGGCTGTAATTGTAAATGTATGGAAATTGAAAATAGGGCAATAAATCAAATAGAGAAATTGAAAATGCAAAAATCAAATCACTTCATTCTCATGAATTTGAATAACTGTATTTTTTTTTAACATTTTTATTATAATTTGTATGTTTTTTTTTTCAACATAGATAATTGCTTGTTGATGTTGAACAAGTTGATTTGTGGTTTAGTTTTTTTTTTGTAATTTCTCAAATGTTTGTCACATTTGGGCCTCCATACAGAAGTGAAAGCAGATCTAAGAAAAGTTGTAAGATCATTTGTTTGCAGATCACACTTCTACTATTTTTATGTATAGACTCAGACTGCACTATAAATACCTGGGGTTACAGTGTGTTTCTTATTTTAAGTTATATTGCTACTGGCAGTTTTTCAGATATCAAGACAGGAAGTATCAAACATTGCGGTATCTTTAGTATATGTTTTCCTGCCTGCTGGGATGCAGAAGAGAGACCACAGGATGTTGTTCTGCAGGCATCTTTTAGAACAATGCCTCACTGTCTGTGTTCTGCATCTATTCTTAGCCACAACACAAAGACAACATCCTGGATAGACCCCCGATGCCTGGACAAACCTCAGAAACCCCTGGAGGAATGTGAAGATGATGGTATGAAAATGTGGTTGAGTTTTTGTCCTGTTTGCTTGTGCAAATATCAGTTTCATGGTGTGTTTTTAATTACATGCATTCATAACGCTTGTTCATTAGAGTTTTTGTGGCATTGGGCATAAATAAGCTTTTAGTGTTGTAAATCTACAATGTAAAATAATATCTGTGTCACCATAGCAAATACAGTTTCAAACCTGTAAATAACAGTTTATGCTCAAGCCCTCAAGTCATCCATTGTGATCTCATGAGAGCCTGTAGATGGCGCGCTTGAGCTGTCATAGCTATAACAGCCACTCTCACCTTGTGACAAATTGACTAAGGCAGCTGCTATAATGCTATAAGGAGGGTCTGGATTATATTGAATCTCCTCACATAAAAACAAATAACTCCCTTGAACCTTTTTGCATTTTATGATTTGAAAATAATAATTTCAACTGTGTATATAATATGGTGGCATAATTATAAAGCGTTGAGCTGTAATTTTGGTTTTTTTATTAACTAACCCTCTTTGTCTCTCTCTGACACCCTTCCTCTCTTTTTCTCACCCCACTTTGTGCACACCTGCTCCCCTTTTACACCCTCTCGAGAAGAAGGGGTACATACAGAGGAACTGGACAATGAGCTAGGTAGGCCACTATTCCACAGGGAAAAAACCCCATAGACACACAACCAGCATGTTTTTTGGAGTAGATCAATCCATCTGTGCTGCTTTGGAACCAGATGTTTTCTCTCAAAGCCTGAAACTCACATTCTCCCTCTTGTTCACTGTCGTCGTTAACAGTTCTGTCCATGGACAGAAGTCTGTCTAATTATCAGATAGAACTGTTAAACAAATGAATTAAAATGTATACAAAAAAGTATTATAACGATTGCTTTTATATTGTTAGTAATAGAAAGGCAAACATTATAATACTTTCTCGTTTGCCGTCAGCATTCAGCAAATACGCATTTATATCATTTAAACAAATCTTTGAATGACTAATGAACATCTAATTTCAAAAACCTTGCAAACTTAGTCGAATCCAGCTGTGAGATCTTGTGAAGTGTGCATGTGACCTGCATAATCGCGTGTTCTCTGCGTGACTTCCGGTCCGTGCGAATTGAATACGGACAGGAGGAGAGTTCAGCTTCACTAAAATTTACCATATTGTCCCGAATATAAGACTTTATTTTTTCTTGGAAATACATCTGAAAAAACGCGGTCGTCTTATATTCCGACCACTAAACTTGATTAGTTAACATAAACTAATAATTTAAAATACTTCTAAAGCATTTAATAATCTTAGTTGATGTTAATTGCAGCATTTACTAATATATTATTAAAATCAAATTGAAGTTATCTGTTATTATTATTTAATGGACCAAACATGGAACTAACATTAATTTTTATTACCTAACGTTACAGAAGATTAATAAACAAATATATTGCTCATTGTTAGTAAACGTTAGTTAAAACATTAACTAATATTAAGTAATAGGACTTTATTGTAAAGTGTTAGCAATTAATAGTTGCAAAAATAATAGTTTAAACAGGTTTCACCAAATACTCCCTCTTGCTGCTATTGGTCAGACAAACACATAATCCCGCCCTCAGACACTGCCATTGGTTGAGCCCGTGTTGCTATGCAATCTGCTGCTAACAGTTCAATAGGTGTGTCTTAAGTTACATACTTTTCTGAGTATGCACGATTCATTTTGTAGTATGTGAGTGTAGTATTGAGTTACTGAAGATTTAAAAATAAAAATATATTCCCAGATGATTCTGACTTAAATGCTGGATGAAAACTACATTGTATAATGTATATAGTATGTATCATCTGCGATGCAACTAATGTTTGGTAAGCTCCACAGAATTACAGTGTTTACACTTTTGGGTAAATCAACCTACAAATGACTTAGCTATAGGGATTTTTAGGCATTTCCCCCCCCAGCCAATTATTTTAACATCTAAAAAATTACACACTTCACCTTTATCAAGCATAGCAAGGATTTTGTGACAGCTTGTCTGTTATACATTTGCTGCGCTATTCTATGAACTGCCATTACCTGGGAAACCGCTATATTTCTGCTGCTTCGAAAGCGGCACCTGTTAACAGAGAATGAATTTGCGGTTTCAATAAGCCCTTCTGCTGTCTTTATTCAGATAAATGCAAAAAATGCAAAAAAAAACAACAGAGTTGTAAATGTGAACTGATGGATCGACAAGAAGCTAATGCATTATAAAAATCTAAACATTTAAGACAGTAAAATATATTTTTACTGTATGTTATTTATTTAATATAATAATTGATAATAATTGTTTAAATTAATATAACAGACAGGTTTGACACTAATCTATTTTCTTAAAAATTGTTTAAAGGCTGAAATGTGAAGTTTATCATTTTATAAAACTCTTTGTTTATGTAAAAACCTTTATCTGAACTGTAAATCATGCTTTTTACAGTTATTTAACAGATTAATATGTTACCATAGACATTGCCCTACCCCGCTCATACGGTATTAATTTTATTTGTGCAGGTCTTAAAAAATCTTAAATCTGATCTTAAAAATCCTGCAGATACCCATGGCAAATCCTGTGGTGTGAATTTTACCTGACAAAATCACTGGTTGATTAATTATGTTAAACTCTTGAAAGATCAGGAAGGGTGAAGATATATGAGACAGAAACTGCTGAGAGAATCGTTCACCAGTAGATTGTTATTTGTAAGTAATTAGTTTTGGATGACATTTATAGATTCATTTGAACGGTACAGGAGTCGGGACGAATTTGCTATTGCTGCTTGGGAGAGATAACGAGTTCTTGCTTTCACAAAAATTTATAAATGTGTGCCGCTTTCATTGGCCAATTAGAAACTAGCACAATATCGAAGTTTTCTCTGTGGGAGGTGTTGTGATGAAGTTCCTGTGTGCTGCAGGCACTATGCTAATACAACATCTGCCTAAACAGGCATAGCCATGGTAAAGAAAGCAATATTTTCATATGCATAAAAGCACATTTCAGTGTCAAACCTGAGCCTTTCATGATTATTCTATTATTCTAGAGAAGACATGTTGTGTATCTTTTTCGCCTTTACAGTGTCACAATCAAATCAATGAATATCTTCTGTTGTTTTTGTACACTTGTCAACCTTTGCCTAAAATATTCAGAGCGGTTCGTATTTTTGTTGTTTGCCAGGTCAATAGATTTGGAAATGCTGGGGAACATGTCTGATGTTTATGTAAATATCACAAGGAGGATTTGTCAGAGAGTTGTGTCTTTGGAGATAAATGACAGACACAAACTTTATACTGTTATAGCGTATTCTGCATCTCTAGTCTGATCATGTCTCAATTAAAATGGAATTCCTTGGATATTGTAGCAGTGTTTACGATAACGTAAAAGTTTATTACTTTGAGATGGGAATCATCCCGTCTGTCCGAAAGAATTGATATGACAGACTGTTGAACTATTGAAAATGGTGGTAGTGCTGCCACAGCAAGCAGAGTGTGCATTACTTTTCAAAAAGTCTGAGCTCTGTTTATAAATTAATCTGCTTTATACCGTGGTTAACTCATGTACATGTGTTTATCTTAAACATTTTTAGTGTTTTAAGCCTTTAACGCTTTTGTGTGTAGAACACTGATTCAGCATCAAGCTGTCATTACTAGTTCGAATGAGTCACTCAAGGCTCTGTTACAGACTGAAAAGCATCACTTTAACAGTAGGGGATGTTTTTATTCTGTTATTTGACATGCAAAGAAAAAAAAAAAATTTTTCTGTTTTTTTTTTCTTTCTTTCTTTTGCTGTGGTAGACTGAATCAGTGATTAGTAAAGTGGTATGACAATATCCAGCAACTTAGAACATCTGGCAACCAATCAGAATCAAGCACTCTTTAATGCAGTTGTATAAATGTTTAAAAAAAAAAGATAAATGATGCAGTTTGCATGATAATTATATAATATGCTCAATTTAATATAACAATTGATAATAATTGTTTAAATTAATATAACAGACAGGTTTGACACTAATCTATTTTCTTAAAAATTGTTTAAAGGCTGAAATGTGAAGTTTATCATTTTATAAAACTCTTTGTTTATGTAAAAACCTTTATCTGAACTGTAAATCATGCTTTTTACAGTTATTTAACAGATTAATATGTTACCATAGACATTGCCCTACCCCGCTCATACGGTATTAATTTTATTTGTGCAGGTCTTAAAAAATCTTAAATCTGATCTTAAAAATCCTGCAGATACCCATGGCAAATCCTGTGGTGTGAATTTTACCTGACAAAATCACTGGTTGATTAATTATGTTAAACTCTTGAAAGATCAGGAAGGGTGAAGATATATGAGACAGAAACTGCTGAGAGAATCGTTCACCAGTAGATTGTTATTTGTAAGTAATTAGTTTTGGATGACATTTATAGATTCATTTGAACGGTACAGGAGTCGGGACGAATTTGCTATTGCTGCTTGGGAGAGATAACGAGTTCTTGCTTTCACAAAAATTTATAAATGTGTGCCGCTTTCATTGGCCAATTAGAAACTAGCACAATATCGAAGTTTTCTCTGTGGGAGGTGTTGTGATGAAGTTCCTGTGTGCTGCAGGCACTATGCTAATACAACATCTGCCTAAACAGGCATAGCCATGGTAAAGAAAGCAATATTTTCATATGCATAAAAGCACATTTCAGTGTCAAACCTGAGCCTTTCATGATTATTCTATTATTCTAGAGAAGACATGTTGTGTATCTTTTTCGCCTTTACAGTGTCACAATCAAATCAATGAATATCTTCTGTTGTTTTTGTACACTTGTCAACCTTTGCCTAAAATATTCAGAGCGGTTCGTATTTTTGTTGTTTGCCAGGTCAATAGATTTGGAAATGCTGGGGAACATGTCTGATGTTTATGTAAATATCACAAGGAGGATTTGTCAGAGAGTTGTGTCTTTGGAGATAAATGACAGACACAAACTTTATACTGTTATAGCGTATTCTGCATCTCTAGTCTGATCATGTCTCAATTAAAATGGAATTCCTTGGATATTGTAGCAGTGTTTACGATAACGTAAAAGTTTATTACTTTGAGATGGGAATCATCCCGTCTGTCCGAAAGAATTGATATGACAGACTGTTGAACTATTGAAAATGGTGGTAGTGCTGCCACAGCAAGCAGAGTGTGCATTACTTTTCAAAAAGTCTGAGCTCTGTTTATAAATTAATCTGCTTTATACCGTGGTTAACTCATGTACATGTGTTTATCTTAAACATTTTTAGTGTTTTAAGCCTTTAACGCTTTTGTGTGTAGAACACTGATTCAGCATCAAGCTGTCATTACTAGTTCGAATGAGTCACTCAAGGCTCTGTTACAGACTGAAAAGCATCACTTTAACAGTAGGGGATGTTTTTATTCTGTTATTTGACATGCAAAGAAAAAAAAAAAATTTTTCTGTTTTTTTTTTCTTTCTTTCTTTTGCTGTGGTAGACTGAATCAGTGATTAGTAAAGTGGTATGACAATATCCAGCAACTTAGAACATCTGGCAACCAATCAGAATCAAGCACTCTTTAATGCAGTTGTATAAATGTTTAAAAAAAAAAGATAAATGATGCAGTTTGCATGATAATTATATAATATGCTCAACATGGTCATTATAGATTTAATATGTCTAGCTTGTTAGTTTGAAACCTCCTGAATTTTAATTAGTCGAAAAGTCAAGACGTAATTTTACAAAGGACTTGATAAAAACCTTATTAAATTAGTTATAATGAGCTGAAAATGTCTTCTGTTTTGCTCCTTTTCCAGAGCTGCCCACAGGCTGGGAGAAGATTGATGATCCAGTGTACGGGGTGTATTATGTTGAGTAAGTGACTCTTCAATATTACCTTCAAATCATCTTTAATATATGACCTCATCCCGAAACATCAAAGAAACAACCGCCATCTTTTAGATTGGGCCTGTTCTGTTTTGGCTGTATACACCCTTTGTTACTGTTACCATTTTGAAATCTTGTTCTCTCTCTTTCCCTCCCCTTCAGAGGGACCCTTGGGTTTGTAGCGCATAAATATGAATGCATTCATATGTTTTGATGTTCTTTCAAAGCAATACCTCTGAGGCAGAAAGCCTTCCGTTTTTTTGTCTCTGGAGATGTTTACGTATGTTTTGAGCAGTATTTGCCTAGTAAATTGCGCAG